CAAGAAAGCTCTGACACAGGAAGCATAAAATCAGATGAGGAGCAACTTACTCATGGTCGCAGATGAGAGATGTGGAAGAGCTTGAAAATCGCAGGAGAAATCGTCGAAGAAGATTAGGGTTCTTGCAAAAGGGATATTTGAGCACAGGAGAATTCGAAATTGCAAAGGTGGAAAAACTGAAAAAATCCGCTAAGTACCTAATTTATACTTAGAGAGTTGAAGGGTTGGAAGAGCAAGACCGTTGGATTAAAACCAGATCTAAAGGTGGGAGCATTAATTAACACAGCACTCAAAGCGGGCACGTTATGCGAGGAGGCGCTATCATTAAAGTAACTGACAGATGAGGCAGACGCGACGCGTGGCAGAAAAGTAAGCACTGTAGAAAGGACGTGTGACAGGTGACCCTATCTCTGGCAATTAATGAGGTATTATTTGAAAAAAATAAGCAGGAAATCCACCAGATGGTCGATATCGGACGCCATGATGCCCAGGAGGTCGATAGGCACAAACTCACACTTAGATCGAGTCATTCAAACTCGACCAGAGTGGGCGGGACTAGATGATATAGGATATTATACCCACAAGGTTAAACCAGTAAATAGACCGGTCAAGGAAGTCGTATTATGAGGAAGTCAAGGAAATCGAGCAGTTAACCAGTCGACCAAGCAAAGATGTCGACCAAATTATCTTTCGATTAGATGAACGATCGAGCAGTCCAGTCGGCCTCGATAGGTCGACCACTTCGAGGACTTAACACCACGCGGATCGGCCTAGTCACAGGCGTGTGAGAGAGCCCCTAACTGAATTCCAGGAGAATATTTACCCCATGTGCAGGGGGACACGTGTCGAGAAGGTAGTGGTTGATAGCGATAACCACCTCTGATAGCCTACCCCATGTGCAGGAGGACACGCGTCCAAAGGGGATTGGTGCAGGCGATAGTGGCGATGGCTACCTCTGACACACGCGTATGGTGTGTACGGACGGGCAGCTAGGGCAGACAGCTCACCAAATTTGGGCAGCTCTAGGTCAGGTATCTCACCCCTATATAAAGGGGGTGAGCCTTTCTTCTTCAACACGATCATTCTATTGTCTACTCTTGAGAATTGATTGAACATACACTGACTTAAGCTTTGGAGGCTCTTCACCGAAAAACCCCTCCGGTGTTAGAGTTCTTTGTAGGTGCACGATGTTCAACCGGCGAGAAGGAAGGCGATTATTCAAGTTCCAGCCGGTCGGGAAGTTTTGTGTTACCAGAATTTATGTTATCGTTCGTCGATCGAACTTTCGGTTTAATCGCGTAATCCGAATTGTTGTCCATTTTAATTCGTATTCGAACCTTCGTGAATCGAACCTTGGAGTGGCTTTGTTCCAACTCTAGTGTAGCTTATTTTGACCCTTTATGGTCCACAAGGACCAGCCCAAGAGCTTGAGCAATCCACCCCGTATCAATTACAGTTGAGCATTTTTTTAGTTCCAATTTCAAATGGATTGGATCCTTAATTTTGACCAATTATTTTCCTAACTCCCAGCCCCCTTTCACTCGGTCAAATAGCCACAAGTAATGCTAGGAGAACCCTCTTTTTAAGGCAAGTTAGAATTCTAATGATGGTTAATATTCTCCTTATGTTTTAAGTTGGAATTTTCCCTTCTCCTCACCAATTCCACATGCTTTAGTCTCTCTCTCCCATAACAACTCCTAAAAATCTCCTTCCCTAATTTCACGCTAGAGCCAGCAGTAAAAATTAGAATAAACCCTCCATCTTCATCGCAAAACCATCGCACGTCCATCACTACCCTCTTCTCGGCCCATCACTAGCCACCGATGCGCCACTCCCGCGAGGATGCCGCACACGCTGCCACCGCAAGGACGGCCAACAACACATAGATGACCGCTGCCATTTCACCTTCATCCACAACCAGATGGCCGTCCCGTGAGCCATCCATCTCTGCCCGCTATCGCTGCTCGTGCACAACCAGCCATCGCGAGGGTCATTTTTGTGTGTTATAACCGAGAATGGTACATGATGGCTTGAAACCCCCTATTTTTATGTGTATATGTGTATAATTATGAGGTCTTTGGATTAATTGCATGTTAGGGTTTTATATCTATGTGTAAAGTCTTGCTACATCATGTTAAATGTCTGAAACCCCACTTATTCTTATGTTTATGTGTGTTATGATGGTGTTCATGTATGCAGATGATGTTGTTTTGGAGGTAATGCAAGTGTGAGCATCCTGACCGGTTTGGAATAGATCGCTTCTCATCCCCGCCGGGAACCTGCAAACAACTCTCACACCGGGGGGCTATCCGGTGAAGAGCCTCCGATGCTTACGTAAGTATGTGTATGTCTGAGTAGAATAATGGAAAATTGTGTGTTAAGAAATAAAGGCTCACCCCCACTTATATAGGGGTGAGATACCTGACCTAAAGGCTGCCTGGATTTGGTGAGCTGGCTGCCTCCGCTGCCCTTCCGTACTCTGACATACCGCGCGCATGTCAGAGGTGGTGTCAGAGGTTGTTGTCGCTATCAACCAATGCATTCTCACCACGTGTCCTCTGCAATTGGGTAATTATTCCTCTGAATATTCCCCTAAGTTCTGTTAGAGACTCTTACACACGCCTATGACTAGGTCGATCTCCAGAATACCGTCAGTCTATACATTGGTCGATCTATTGAGGTCAACTCGGCTGCTCGACTGCTCAACTGGTCGATCCTTCGACTACACATGATATACTGTCTGTCCCAGAGTGTAACGCCCCGTATTTATTAATAAACGAAAAACACTAGCTTTTAATTATAAGCTAGCCTTTGTTAATAAATGTTCATGTTAAGTTTCAAGCCTAAGTATTCAGCTAGTTATGTTCCCAGTTCAACGTTAAGTCAATTCTAGTAATTAATCTTGGTTCATTTATTTAATAATGGACATTAGTATATTTGGATTAATTATTTCAGCATTGACGTATTAACCGAATTTGAGAATATCAATCGTCAAAGATAAGTTTCGAGCCAGATATTAAGTTTCAGTTTTAAAAGATCGACTATTAGTCGATAGAATATTCGGTTTACTAATTTTTTTCAGTAACCGAAACAATTTCGATAATTAGTTCCCAAAATGTTTATTTTTATAAACGGATATTATTAGTCGGGATTAATTATTTGTAATCAAGATTATTCGAATTAATTTTCAAAGTCATGTTCTAACCAAAAATAAGTAAATTCGATTTAAGTTATCATGTGCACTTATCATCCCTATACAACGACGCGTTCACATTGGTACACCGTCCACCTAGGCCGACTGCACGCCCTGCGCTACCTATGCGCATGCCACCATCATCGTAGCACACGCAAGTGTCGTGCACCTAGCCACCGTCCACGATTATCTTATGTTAAGATAAGTGCAATGATCATGTCTAAGTAACCCATGCATTAATATTAAGTAAGTGCTGAGAGATAAGCTTGATGAGAGTTTAATATTCCCACTTGCGAAGCCTTGTCACCTAGTAGCTTGTCACATGGCATGGTGAGGGCCTTCTGTTAGAGTAGTATACCCGGCGTTCCAATCTGATTGGACGTATTCTACTTG